TCATAAGCTGCTACCTGGGCAGGTCATGGTGGGCAGTCCCACCCCAGGTCTGTAACTTCTGTAGTGAGAGGTTTTTAAGCCAGCCCTGTCCACTGTTCGTGTGCATCTAGGTAAACACACCTTAGCAATGCCAGAAGTAACACCCCTCAAAGGCATAACCACCCTCAAGAGAGCACACAATCTTGTAAACTATCCCATAATTCAATCCCTGCCTTGCTTTCTCCCACCTCCATGTAACCTTCCATATGTTTCCTCCCTAATTCCAAATGCATAAAAGAAACTGTAAACTGCCATTCTAGGGAGCATTTGAGATCTTTCTTCCCAGCAATTCTTGTCAGTTTTGGCTCAAATAAACTCTTATAAAAATTCTTTACAAGTTTGGACATTTCTTATACTGACACCTCCCACCCCCACCTTCCAAGGCAGAAGAGAGGATAACAGGACATGCAAGCTTACCATCCTTTATCTGCAATCCTGAAATCCAAGAAAAATCTGGAAACAAAATTTTTCTTTGTCTGGTACTAATCCTTAATCTGAACTGAGGTGAAGCTTTTTATAGCTTTTGTCCCATTTACTGTGGTTATTTATACAGTGCACAGCAGAAATACGAATACTGTTACAAAAAAAAAAAAAAAAAAAAGAAACCCAAAATGCAGTCAGTTTTGCTAAGCCAGGTCACCAAACCAAAACTTAATAACTAATCTAAATGCAACTTCAGCCTCTCCCAGGAGTGGAATTTTAAGTCAGTCAGTCTGGAATTTCCTTGTCAATACTAGTGAAGTATCTGCCTGATAAGATCCCCAGCCTTCCCCTAAGGAAAGGCATCCTTGCCTGAAATAACCTACTCTTTTAACTTCTTACTCCCACCCTCCTTCTGCCTATAAACCCGTCCGTTTGTACAATTTATCAGAGCACCTCATTAGTTGCTAGGTGGGATGCTGCCCAATTCATGAGTCACTTAATAAAACCAGTTAGATCTTCACACTTACTTGGTTGACTTTTTGTTCTTTAACAACACATTTGATCATGTAAAGTGGCCCCAGACCCTACTGGGGGTCTGATATAATGTATACACACCATAATACCTTCCTAAAATTGGAAAATTTCTGAATTTGGAATCACGCCTGGCTCTGTGAGGTGTGGTTAAAGATTGTAGACTTATACTCCCATCATAGCTGCCCTTCAGCAAGACCCAATTCCCAGCCAGCTTTGACCTTGGGTCATTGGGATTGTCACCTTAGTACCATATTCTGCCCCTCAGAACACTTCATTCTCCTATCCCCTGCCCAAGCTTGGTAGCCTCTTAAGTGTGCCTTAAAGTTCTCTAGTCCCTTGAAGGTTTAGAGATCAAAAATCCAGAAACCAGTGAAGAAAATGTTCCTTTAGGAGCCAAGGCAGAGGGGCTGTCCTGTTGCTGAAAGGAACCTCTCCTCTTCCATGACTAGGCTAATGATAGTCACACAAGACTCTCATCCTATCACAGACACACGCAACCGCAGGCCCACATCCTGGTTATTTCCAGCCAGAGAGCAGCAACACTAGGCTCCAGGGCAGCTAGGGATACCAGGACAGCAGCCTCGCAACTGCCACCCTCTGGCCCTGACCATGGCAGGTAATGGAGGACATCTCCACAGCCTCATCTGTGATCACTGCCACCCCTCCAAAATCCTTTGATTTTTTTCCCTCCTTTCAGGGAATGGAGGGGTTGTGTGAACATCATCCAGTTTGGGTGGGGGAGGAGTGGGAGAGGGAGAGAGAAGTGGCTGATGACAAAGACCAGTCTGTATGGTTAAAGGAGTGATGTTGGGAGATTTAAAAGAGAAAGGATCAGAAGAGTCAGGCCTCCAACTTGGGGGACAGTATGTCTGTGGGTGCCTGTGTACATGGGTGATAGAGACAAACAGATGGCTATGAGACAAGTATGAGTGATGAAACAGAGGAGGCGAGAGGCGGGAGACAGAGACAGAGACATGGAGAGAGACTGCGAGAATTAAGAAGAAAAATGCACCGAAACCTGCCCATACAGTATTTCGGCAAACATTTCTGAAACAGATACAGTGAATTGCTACTTTTAATAAAAGCCTTCTCTGTCTAGTACAAGAAGTCCCCCAAAGCAGAAGGCTGGTATCTGTGGGTGTTAAAATCTGCATCCATCATTTCAGAGCAATGTTAATTAACTAACCAACCCATGATTGTCCTGAGATCAATATCCAGGACTTGGAAAGTAAATAAGGGGGCCTAAATTCAGCATTTATGTTTAATTAAAACCTAACGTTTGTCTGAAGGCAGTGGGAAAGCCACTGACCGGTAAGAATTTCAGTGCCTTGATCTTCTCCTTCAAAGGTGCCTACTGACCTCAGGGATGCTGTGAGCAGGGCCAGACCTCTTGACTTCTTTCCAAGTCTGACCCCCAGGGGCAACAAGAGACTTCTCCCCTCCAGAAAACTGCTTTGGACACTGATGATCATTTCCAGAGTATAGGGGAGAAATGAGGGTGTGAGCAAGGTGGACGAGCCCTTCCAGGGAGGACGTGACACCGGTCCTGGTTGTAATAGAGGCTGGACTGAGGAGGGCAGGATGACCCTTGCTGCATCCTTAGCAGATGTTGCTGGAATCCAGGTGAACTGGTTTTCTCCCTAGCAGGAGGCTGGGCAATGGGAGAGCCTTAACTATTTGCTGAATGAAAAACTGGGTCACCTTCCTTAGCAAGGTCCTGAGGTGTAGCCTCAGTGATCTGTGGCTGATGCGACTAAATACTGGCCTGGCCAGATAAGCCAGCAGGGCCTCAGGCACCACTGGAAGTTGGGCCAGAGAGCTCCTACCTAAACTGGTGAAAGCATGGTTTTTGCAAGTCACCTTCAATCGCAAACCAAAAGGCCTCCCTCTACTTGTTACCTATGTGACTTTGGGCAAGTCACTTCATCTTTCCATTCCTTGGCTGTAATATAAGCACAGGTCTTATGTACCTCTTAGGGCTATGTGAGAGCTTGATAGATTCATGGAAAACACTTAGAACAGCACCTAGCATATAATTATATGATTCAGTCCTCCAGCCTGGCCTGACTTACGTTATGATCTCCCAGTACTTTCTGGGAATCTTTGGACAAAACAATAAGTAATGTTTCCTGGAAGGGGAAGAATCAGGGGCTCAAATGGAAGACAGACTTATACACATGGGCAGCACCATCGAACTGATGTGTCTCTGGCATCAGGCACTCTTGGTGTTGCCTCTTCCCAGGACAAGAAGCCCAGACTGATGTCAAATTGAGTCCTAACCACTGCTTGTCCTTCAGCCTCTTCGATGCCTGCCCAGAAGGGTCCATCCTCAGCAGCCCTGAAGGCAACTCCAAGCAGTGGGATCTATAGCCCACTTGCGATTCCTGGGGCTTTCCATTGTTATTTCAGAAGCTTCCGGCAGTCTTTCAGGCAGGGCTGTGATGAATGACCCATTTCTTCTTCCCAAGGCTGTCATTAAAGGCACACACCACAGAGCCCAGTGGGCTGTGGTTTGGGGGGCAGCCAGCTGGTAAGCAGGCTCTTCATCGTCACAAAGGAGGGAAGTGGGGTACAAGGGGGAGCTGTGCTTTTCTGCTTTCCAGTCTCTAACATGCTGGGAACAGAACTGCAGGACCAAGGGAGAACCCTGAAAACCCACTTCATGGGTTTATCAAACATGACTTCCACATGCTCTGCTCATGACTTCCAGGCAATGCTTTCCAGGGACAGTGGAGGGGGTGGGGGCTGTGTCCTGCTGCAGACCCTGCCCACTGTCCGTACAGGTGGGAGAGACAGCACCCACCCCTACCTGGATGACCCCATGGAGGTGCAGTGCGGAGGCTCCTTTGCAGGTGATCCTGAGCTACTGTTGAACTCAGGGCACAATATCTGCATCTAGTAGGGCTTCTGACCTGAGGTACTTACCCAGGGCTGGAGGCTCTTCAGTGACCCTGAGGAAACCATCTCTCACCAAGGAAACCCACCGAGACTGGCCCCCTCTCCCAGAACGTCACTAAGCTCAGAACTCTTGGTAAATATGGAAGATTGGAACAAGCGGCATGTCTAGCATCTACTTTTTTCCTATTTCATTGACTTTTTTGCTCTCATCTGTGTTATTTCCTTCTATTTTTTTTTAGGTTTGATTAACTATTTTTTTTCTAGCTTCTTCAAATGGGAGCTTAAATTACTGATTTTTGGCCTTTTCTTCTCTATTATAGTAAAATCTTGGATTGCAAGTAACGTGGTTTGCGAGTATTCCACAAGACGAGCAAACATTTCTAATACATTTCAACTTGGTAAACGAGCTATGTCTTGCAATATGAGTAGTTTGCTTCTGGAATGAATTATGCGCATAAACCAAGGTATTACTGTATATGGATTGAGGCCTATAAAATTCCCTCTGAACACTGCTTTAGCTGCATATTTGATATATAACATTTTTTAATCTTCTTGTTTTTAAGATCTATGTTCCACTCTTTTCTGATAAATTAAAATATTCAGATCAAGTCCTGAAGTCCAATTTAAACTATTAAGTTCATCTTGCTTTATTTCCAAATGATTTGGCTGCAGACTCTGTAAAATGATTTGGAGTGAAGCTCTTGAGGAGTTTAGGGTTCCTAAGTGCCACAGAAGCGGGTCAAAGGAATAGTCTGATGACTCTTGCCTTTTTTGTTGTTGTTGTTGTTGTTGTTGTTTTAGCTGAGCCATCCTGCTACCTGTTGGCAGCTCAACAGCAGCTCAGCTCGGGCTGGGAATTGAACTGCTGTTGCTCAAACTCTTGAGCGAGCTCTTAACCAACTGAGCCACTAGGCCGGCCCCGTGCCTTTTGTTTTTCATATTTCAATTGAATAAAAATTGCAAACACCATTTCTTAAAATGAAACTATTAACTCATCCAAGCAAGGTCTTCCAATGACTGTAGAATAAGCCTTACTTTAAAACACTTCACCCATTTAACAGAAAACCTGCCAACATTGCACATCATTAAGGAATAGAAACCGTCTGCATGTTGCTAATCTAGATTTATTAAATTTATTTCATGTCACTGTGGTCATTTTTACATTTGTTTATAGAGTTATTTTCAATCACATTACTGTTCACAGAATTCACAGAATTCATTAACAAACGTATTTTACATCCAAGGATTTGCAGTAGCACAGCAACATAGAAAAGAGGCCCACGAGGTGCTTGTGTGTCTGATTATTTAGAATCCGAGTCTGATCATTTAGATGATGTCTAGAACATTATTGCTTCATTAGTCCTATTTTTAAAAGTAATAAATGATTTCCAGGAAACCCTCCCTGCGAGGTGTTCTTTGCACTATGACGGTCTGAGTCCACTCATGGCACACCTGACACGTGGGGGCTGATCAAACCACGCAACTATGTTCTCTGCCACTCTGATGGCTGGCTGAGGCAGAACAGTGCCCCTCTGTGTGTGTAAATATTTTCTACAGCCTGCCATTTTCCTCCCTGGTCTTGCAGCTGACAGACTGCATTCACATATGAGTTTTATGTAAAACTTAAACAAGACATAAACAAGAGGGGCTCCATGAATGGGAACTAATGCTCCTAAAACAGCCACTAACCATGCAGGGAGAACGTCTGAAGCAACAGAAGTACCTAGAATCTCAGTCTGTGGGGAATGTTTTAAAGAAAATGATGTCCTCGGTGATTATGGTTTTCGAGGTGGCCGCTTTGCAACATGAACTTGAAGACTTCTCAGTAGATTTCAAGGCTGGGTTTTCTTAGTTTGTTCCACATGAGTTTCCATTTTGTGAAAAACATCTTGGAGATTTCTTTGAGGCCCTCAAAGCTCTGTGGGTCTGACTCGGGGTAGGGGACTGGCTTCCTCAGGGACGCTGGGCTCTGGCCGCTTTTGGGGCAGGATCCCTGAGAAGTGGTGTCAGCATCCGATTTTGGAGATGGGAGTGGATGCTGTGTGCAGAGTGCAGGCTGCAGTCAGGGTTTCAGTCCAGCTTCTTGCTGTCTGTGTTGTGTACAGAAGCTAAAAAGTCGACAATGAGCTTGGCTGCCTTCCTGGGTCTCTCCATTACCACCGAGTGCCCACAGTTTTCCAGAAGTTCTACCTGGCAGTTGGCGATGGACTTGGCCAACACGTCTGCCCCAGACACATCGAGCACCTGCAGGACAAGAGAGGAAACTAGATGGAAAAGGTTCAGATGCCTGTGTGCACTTGGTGGACAGACTCCTACTGAGACCTGGCAGCGATGGTTTTTAGGGCCAAGTCACGTAAGTGTTGGGGATTGTGGCTCTCTAATAGAAGTGACTGCATGTCTCATATTTTATTTTGCAACTGAGTGCCAGGAGTTGTGCTGCTGCCAGCATTACTAAGGTAGAAACACATAGTCCCTGCCCGTGAAGAGGTTCTGGTCTGGTAGGGAAGGCAAACAGGTCAACAGACAAATGAGGTGTGATGTGACAAGGGCTCTGATAGGGGAGGACTGTGAGAGCTGAGGGAGCACAGGGGAGCAGAATTCATGGAAGAGGCTGGGAGGCCATGGCAAGTGTAGGGGGCAGCAAGTAGCTAGGTGCTGATACATAGCCCACAGGGAGTGGGGAAGGCATGGTGGGGGACCTGCTCCTCCAACCATTTTGGGGTGTCAGACCTTGATCTCAGCACAGTGGGGAATGCAGGGCTGTGTTAAGAACAGTGATGTGATTGTGCAGGCCAAGAGAATGAACCTGACAGCCAGGCTAGGGTGGGCCAAGCTGTGGGAAGGGCACACAGGGAAGAAGCAAGTGGTGAACACTAATTACTAATTATCACAAGCTGGGGAAGAGTTCTCTTTGAAGGTCCTTTGGGGTCCCCAGAGTTGTGTGACCCCAGGCC